GAAACACTAGTACTGTACATACTATTCTCACCAAACTGTGATAACTGTGATTAAATTCAGTGTAAACAAATGCCATATGTTGCCACCCCTAAAAAATTCTTGTCCCCCTCTTGCCACCCCATAAATATTTTTCTAGATCCGCCCCTGCTGCTACTTCAAATGCAAAGACCATTTAAATACTACTACTCACCAGCAAAACTAATGTTACCAAAATATACAAACTACAAAAGCACTCAGAGAGCGCAGACCTACTCCAAGCAGCCAATTTTGCCCCAAATTGTGACTTACATCTATAAGTAAGCTCTGGTAAAGAAAATTCCTCTGGACAGTGAGTTCAATGCTGAGGCTGTCAATAGTCAATGCTGTCACCTTCTGGTTCAGAGGGGAACTGCTTGGTCCGCCAAATATCCCTATCTCACAGTTTTAGGGGGAAAAAAAAAAAAATCTGTATCCATATTATGATCTGGATCATAGCCAAAATAGATTGTTTTTATTTAATGTTGGCATGAGGGACACAAACTCTCCTAAAACATAACCTCCTTGGCAGAGATAATTAGTAAACTGCTCTTTGAGGCATTCATTCATTTTTTAAACCCCTAGTCTTTTCATTAGGTTGCAGGAGTTTTGGAGCTTATCCCAGCATTATTTAGGGAAAGGCAGGTATACACTGGACAGGTCACCAGTCTGTCACCTTTTGAGGAAATTGTACTGAATTGATTCACAATAACTGATCAAAATGCAAAGTATTACTGTAGAAGCTTAAGCAATTCAGTAGTATACCAGATATTGTGAAAAAAAACTGTTTTTATTCAAGCTTCTAAAAACAAGCCGCAGGCACTTTCTTCACCATTTCTTAACAGCTTCGTGTTCCATCTCTGTCTCCTCATTCTGGCCTGTTCCTCTGTCTCTGCCGTCTCTTCCTGTTTTTGCTGCATTCATACATAAACCCGAAAAAATTGTTATTCTACTATATGACCTAGGACATTGTACAACTGTTTCTAGTGTTCTCTCACCAGAACTGTTATTCTGCATTTTGAAAGGGGAACTGATGTGGTTGGGAAATAAAAGAAATGTACATTAAGGAAGATTGGATTTTATTATGATTGTAATGGTTTAAGACTAGAATACAGGTACAGTATATTACAATATTCCTAAAACCAGGATGGGGTAATTTCAAACCCCCCTTACTGCAGCAGTGTCAGTGATAGAGTAAATTTGTTTTCACCATATTTTGTTTTAATTATATGTACAAGCTAATAAAAAATAAAATGAAAAAAACAGTCTGGCTCCATTTTAGGAAATGTTGTGAAGTGAGAAAGAAACTGGGGCTTTATCATAACAGAGATACAAACATTTGAAAATAAAAGGAGATCTTTCATTATTTCTAGGGCCTTTCATAAACCAATGCTAATCTAGTGTGGAATTAAACTCAGTGGAGCCATATGATCAGATTCGATCACTAAACATGTTCATTCATTGTGTTAAAAACTTTATAATAAAAAATTAAAAAAAATAAAAACCTAACGAAAGGCAGACTTTTGGGTTAAAATACAGATTCAATTTTTTTAGTAAAAAAAAAACAAAAACACAATTACATAATTAATTGGTTTTAGTGTTAACCTTGTGATGCAAATCAAATAAGTTTTTGTGACTTCAATCAAAATAAAGAAAAATGTATTGGAAGCAGTAAGACATGAAACCTGCAGAGAAAATTTACTTGGCAGTAGAAAACAAAATATCTTTTTGTTACACAGAATATAACCTTGTCTCATTCAGTAAACAATACAATATAATTTCTGTAATGAGTACCGTAACTTTATTTTAGAAGCTGATACAGGTCTATGTAGTCCAGGAAGAAGGGGTTGTTTTTGGTGGAGCATACTGGGTCATCACTTCTTTGATCCAGCTATTGTAACTACACATCCTGGTGTAAACTGTGGGGTGATCTGGATCCTGGCAGCCATGATTGAACCATGTCAATCCCTGCAGTTCACCAGCACACACCATCACGCTGCTTTTACCCGTCTAAAAAAAGAGATACACAATAAACAATATTTAAGTCTACTTTATAGAAAACAGTACCTAAGTGTATCAGCCAGATGTGAACAGGAAAAGCATCATCAGCCACTTTGATCATCAGCAGTTCATCAACGTCGTATTCATGCTTACCAGGCAGTTATCTGTGTTTGCTTGACCAGCACAAACCATGACACCCCAGTACAGGTATGGAGGGAAGGTATTCAAGCAAGTCATATCATCCACCACAGGAACAGTTAGACACTTGAGGCGATAGGAGGGGTAATCTAATTTAAGTAGAAGGAAGGAAAGTTGTTACTTTGATGTATTTTAAATTGTTCAATTCATACAGATATCCTATCTGTGTTTTAAACTGTTTGAAAGCCATGAACCATTACTTGTCAAATTGCTACCTATTACAAGCGTTAAACAAAGCGATTTTTCATTTTACCCAGGATTTCACAGATTATATAGAGCATGAAGATCTAATCATTTAGTAAATCCTGTTTTCAGAGTCTTCCTCTTTTAATTAGTTCTGATCACTGACTGGGTTTCCTGCCAGGTAATTAAAAACTGATTAAAAATGGAAATAATTTAAAAAATGTTCACTCCTCCTTAGGGACCCCTATAACCAGAATAGGAATGAACTTCACAGAGAATACCTTTGTTTATTTTTATGAGCTTGACTTTTAACTACACTCTCTACAGAATGAGCTGGAATGTGTTGCTGGGTTAAATAATGTTTGGGCTCCATACTAAGGTGTTTTAATTAGTGATCAAATCTTGAAAAAGGCTTAAGACAACAGGTAGAATGACTATATTAGCTGATGCTTTGACATTACAATGAAGGTCAATTATGCTGTTATTGCCTCCAATTTGGATTATTGCAGCTCTTTTTATCCACTTTTATTCAGATCGAAAATCCTTGCAGCATTTATAAGCTGTGAGAAAGCTGTAGCTTGCATTTTAATTTGCAGTAAAATGCATGGACAACTAACTAACTCAGTTCCTGAAATCTTCCATTTAGGTTAATATTTATTTTGACATGCACTTAAAAATTGTATCTCTTGTATAGCTTTAAATGGCCTAGCTCTATCTCCACTGCACTTTTGGGAGCAATGTTATCAACCAACGGCTGGATCTGAACTAAAAATGTCGAAGAGCTGCCATTGCTGAATATATATGACCAGATAAATGTAAATGCCCCACAGATCTACCTCTTTGTTAAAATGATGGAGGAAAATTATACTAGTATCAGTCCCTTTAGTATTGTGGTACATTTATAGACATGAATATGTGTAACCACATGTGGTAACGCCCCAATACCACTACATAACTACTTTGCTGTGGTTGTTCTAATATCATGAAACAGCAGCATCCAATCTTTTGTTTGGAAAAACAGCTCCTGAAAAAACCCATATTTCATAAAAAAAAAAAAATAATAATAATACTTTGTAGTGCCACATGCAATAATTCATCATGTTTATGCTTATAATTGACTATAGAAGGCTGAAAAAAGCATTCTACCATAAAGGACCTTTAAAAATTATTCTATAATTTTTTCATGGTTCTTAGTTATGTTCAAAGTATGTTTTCTAAAACTGCAATATATATGTTTATATTAGCTGAACAATAGCCATCGCTGATAGTTTGTAGTCCTGTCTTTTTATTCAACATACTATTAACAAGCTTGAAACCTCAAATGGGAAATAAACTTCTAGTATGAAATTGTTTTCTTTGCAAGGATACTTTGTTTACATTTCTGGTCTCTTCTGAAGTCTAAAGAATGTTCCATGAAATGAAACCTTTTTACCTATTGTCTGTCTGGCATTACAAGTCAGCAGGTTTCCTGAAGTACTACTCTGATTAACGGTTCAGGAAGCTGAGTTTGAGGCTCACACATTGATAAAGAGAGAAATAAAACGAAAGAACAAGCGAGGCAGAATTAAAACCCGGCAAACTCAGATTTAGTAGAAAAAGATGTGATTGTTGCAGCATATATTCAGAAAAATTTGTTTTTCTCCCTAATCAGTACAATATTTGTTTTGTCCACTCATACTTCTGCAATCAGCTTCTGATTAGATTCATTATTAATTCTCTGCTGTGTTTTTTTTTTCTTGGAATCCATCAGTGCAGTTTAATAATTTGGATTAGTTTGATAAATAAATCCTTCTTTAAGAAAATAAAAAAATACCCTTTTATCTGTAAATTTGAGAGAAAGATGTTAAAAGGGATTTCAAAAAGTTTCATGACAAATATGAAAATTGATTAAATTTTGCACATCATTATACTTTGATGTATCTCATTAAGGCTACACATTGTGCTTAATAATTTTTTTACTACTATTTTTGTTCTAAATTGTGCTCACATACCTTTGCATTTATTACAAAGTTAATTGTACTTTAAATGTATTTTGCATATTATGTATTTCTGCATTTATGTATTTAGCCTAGTGACTCGGATGAAGGCTTGACCCTAAAGAGCTTTGTTTTGTTAATAAAGCTGTTTTTTTTTTTCAATACTGCACTTCATACCGCAGTACTTACCTGCTAGATTAATGAGATCAACGTTTTCATGGCCGCCTTTAAATGTACTTACATTGGTTTGCGACTGTGGAGCCCCAGCCACTGACAGAGCAGACCTCTCCGGTCTGTGGGCAGCGGGTGGGCAGTGGGATAGGCTGGACATTTTTGTTAAAGACAGCAGGCTGAGACATTCGCACCATAGCGAGGCTGTGCAAAGGTGAGCGGTAGGGGCTGTGAAGAATCACATCAGAAACTAAGATGTGCTGCTCACTGCCTTCCTCCACACTTATGTCATGTTCGCCAAGAGATGCAATAGTCTCATAGGGTCTGTAAAGAACAAAGGAGAGCAATCCAATTAATTTCATTTGTGTACTTATGAAATTACCATTTTTTTTACAAAATGAAATATATTTATTCTGCCTAAAAGCAGATTTTCTTTTGATGCATTAATTACTGTTACTTACATTGGACTGCACTCATGTGAAGTCAATATCCACCATTCATCAATGAGAGCTCCGCTGCATCCATTACTCAGTCTCACATGCCAAGGTCTTGAGTGAGGTTGGCACTCCTTCTGATCATCCAAGGGATATGCACCTATAGTCACCAATGACAGTAAGGAGAATCCGAAAGTATTGAACTAAAGCTTTTCCTGTTTTTGACTTTGAATGCGTAACAAAATCTTACCTGCAAGCCCAACAGTAACAGCCAGGAGTAAGAGGTACATTGTTTTTCTCTGGGATTCTTCCAAAGCAGAAATACTGCATACAAGAGAACTAACCTGTATGCTTTATATATGAGATAATTGGGTAGGTCAAGGGGAGGAGCAGACTAATTATTAATATTCAGCGTCATTTCTCCACAGCCTTGTAATCTGTTTCTTATCAGAGTGATATCCATTGAGCAGCTTGTTTATTTTAGTGGTGTACTGTAATTCCTGTTGGGGGTTTTTTCTGAGAACAAAGTAAACCGTAGAGTACATATTACCACACCCTCCAGCATTTATTATTGCACCACTTTTATTGCTCTGGGAAAAAAACAGAAAACGTAGGACACAATCCAAACCTTTTGCTTGACTATAGCTATAGCGACAATTGAAAAAAATAAACTTTATGAAAAATACATTTTCTTCATAAAAGCTTTTGGCACATCAATTGTTAACAGCCCTGTGTTTTTTTGTTTTTGTTTTTTTTTTTACTTCAGACAACTCCTTCAACCAAAAATAACATGTTTTGCTTTCCTCTATAGAGTTTCAAGACTGGAACATACAGACAGAGGGATATTTTAGCATCCCTGTTTGCACAGTCTCTTCTTTGCAGGGTGTTACAGCACCCCTTGCCATCAACCCCACAACACACTTCCTCCCCTCCTTTGGGTATGTTACAGGGTTTTATGTTTGTATTTAAGACATCTGAAACAGGATAAAGATCCAGGTGTTTCCCTTCCCTTAACCAAAAATATTGTTTATTGTCATTCGCCTGCTACTATCCTAAAGGACACTTTTAATGCATTAAGCCTTGAAACATTAACATTCCTCAAAGACTCTTGAACGGACGTCAAACATTTTCCCCTTTTAATTGTTTATTTACTTGTGCTTCCTATTCAGTAATGTTTAGTGTCTGTTTAGTTATTAGATATAATAATACTGTGTGATTATCAGCTAATTAAGGCGCATTTGTATTTTAATTTGTTTATTTTACACAGTGATCGATTTATCAATCCAGCAGGATTCACTCTTTCAGTAACATCCAAATGAAGAGAGACAGATTCATTTGGGTAGTGATTAATAACTCTTTATATAGCCATTGTCTAAATAACTAAATTGGTGAAAACAACTGGATTTTAAACAGCCAGTCCAGGACTCCATCCTTTAATGTTAGAGACTAAGAACCCTGGTGAGTAAGCAAATTACAGTTATAATCATTCAACTAATAATAGTGTTACCCTTGATTTGAATTATCTATTTATTAACTATGAATTCCAGTTACATATTATTATAGTCACAATCTTCTGGTAAACTTGCACAACCAGGGGAATAAACTAAATGTTTGCCTTCTACAGCACAGCTGAGTGACATAGAGGAGAGAGAAAGTGGAACAGATTCTTTAAAATGTATAACTGCATTATCTGATATTCATCTAAAGTGAAAACTTCCTTTTGGGGAGGAGAACTCTGTTAAAGTAATTTAGAAGGTTATTACAAAGCGGTCAAAGAGGACAGGGTTGTGAGGAAATACGGTAATTTCTTCAACATTCAATGCCATATGTCAGCACAAGCTCCAAAGCATTAGGATAAGAATGTGTGGGACTACTCACATTATGAACATAGCCAATCAGGTCTAAGATAGCATTAAAGGCTGCATTTAAGCTCTCACCTTCAATGTCAGCATGGATGTTAAAATCCCCCACTATGATATTGTCAGTATTTAAAACTTTATCAGATAGAAACTCTGAAAACTCATCTAAAACTTCAGAGTAAGGACCAAATTCAATGAGGGAAATTAAGGGTTAAATGTTCAAAAGAGTTGTAATTATTAACTGACTGTGGAGTAATCTGCAAGTCTGACTGAAATAGTGTTGCCATGCCTCCTTGCCGGGGATTTCTGGGTATATGAAATATCTTCTTATTGTCTGTATATAATAAAGAAGATAAGAGTTAGGACTTAGTTTGTGTGTTTTTATTACAGTAGATTATTGATTTACTATGTTGCAATTTTGTTACCAGCCTTTACATGTTGCGCAGCTTTTAATGACCATGTGAATTGTCACAACTGTGGTTTTAGGTATTTTATGCATTAATAAAATAGTAACAAAACAGCAATTTGATAGTAAAGTGAGATACACTAATGAGGATAAACAACTCCATTTAAAGTATTCAAAACAATGTGAAATAATAAAGAAAAAATGCTGACATTTGCAGCATGGAAAAGGAGTTATGGGGGACATGTCTCACTGTGAGTGAGCTAAAGCAAATAAAAGGGGATTTGATTAAATGCAGAGTGACAGTTCGCTCTAAAGGTTAATAGCTGCTGTTGTGAAAGCCCAAGCATGTCACAAAAAACATCAGTGTCCTTGTTTAAGAAGTCACCATAGTGTTCCTGTTTTCTGTGTTATTCAAAGTAGAGCAGTCATTGCCAAACTGGCAGAAAGATTTGATGTATTATGGGTTATGTTGGGACGGGGGATGTTTAGGAAATCCTGCTGGATATAGTGCAACAAGGATAACATGATGTAGCAGTGCTTTCCCCAAAGGGCTCGTGCAAGTGGGGGGCAGCCCCTCCAGATCTAGTTCCTACATGAAGAGAGTGGTTCACTCTCTGAAAGAACAGAAAGCAAAACAGTGGTTAGTGGAAGAAGGTTTTCACATGTTTCGAATGAAAAAAAATAAAGTTGTTTATCTTAACCAGTTCACATTTTTGTTTCTGCCTATAAGCTTAAGGTCATTTTGGAGAGCTCGGATTTTCTTTCAATTTCTGTGGTTGTGATATGTCCTAAAAGGTACAATTGAGTATGAGAGTGTGAAGCTTATGGATTTTGTTGGAGCGAAATTGAGCCCCCATTGAGAGTACCCCATGTCATTCCAATAGAGGTACTAAATGAATGACATGATGATCTGAGATATTTTTTAATGGATCCAAGTCAACACTGGGTTTTTGTTTTGTTTTGTTTTTTCTTGAATTTTTTGTCTGTATTGTTTGTTGTTTCATGTGTTGGACTAACATCTTAGGCTTAAAAAAAAACACAACATTGTTTGTTCTGAATATTACTTTTGTTTGAATAACAAAAAAAAATGAACCATGAACTTTGTTTGGAGAGAAACTGGACTCATCTTTCTTGAGCCACAGGAAAGATTACACTGCAGAGGGGACAGAGACAAATTTTTACATCTGGGCTTCATAATGAGGGATGGTGTGCTGACATTGAGGAGGTGACAGGATGCCCTTTGCCTCAGACGACACAAGGAGGCACAGAACAGGCCATTGGCAATGATGAAGTGAAGAAGGGTCATCAATCATCGGGTCGGGTTAGGATGCAAAAGATAAGAGAACTGACACAGATTTTTTCTATACATATGAAAAAACTGAGAGAATGATTAAAAACAGGTTCATTAATGTCCGTATAAATACAGACTGCGGTAGAACCACAGTGCTGGTACTATTGGACCTCAGTTCAGCATTTGATACTGTAGATCACTCCATCCTGTTAGAGCGCCTGGAAAACTGGGTCGGCCTCTCTGGTACAGCTCTCAACTGGTTTAAATCCTACTTAAAGGACAGGGACTTTTTTGTATCAGTAGGTAACTTTACATCAGAGATGACAAAAATCACATGTGGGGTTCCCCAAGGGTGCATCCTGGGTCCCCTCCTATTCAATATCTACATGCTCCTTCTTGCTCAAGTAATAAAAAACAACATCAGCTACCATAACTATGCAGATGACACACAGCTTTACATCACCATGTCACATGGTGATTATGAACCAATTCAAGCACTGAGGAAATGCTTAGAAGAAATCCATGCCTGGATGTGCCATAATTTTCTTCAACTGAATAAAAACAAAATTGAAGTAATAATCTTTGGACCAATAGAGGAAAGATCTAAGTTAGCACACAGCTTCAGTCGCTTCAGCTAGTAACCACTGATCAGGTCCGAAATCTAGGTGTAGTGCTGGATTCAGACTTGAACCTCAAAAAGCATTTAAAGTCAATTACAAGGTCGGCTTTCTATCACCTGAACAACATTTCCAGGATTAAAGGACCAATGTCCCAGCCTGATCTGGAAAAACTAATCCAAGCGTTTATTTTTAATCGAATTGATTACTGCAATGGTGTTTTCACAGGTCTGCCTAAAAAGTGGA